CCAGCCCCTGGAAACACATTCTTATCCGGGGTTTGGGGGTGGGCAGCAAAGGGCAGAAGCCACATACACTTCCTTTCAGACTGGACATGTCTAGCTTTATATCAGGTAAGATGTGTTTCTAGCCTCTTGGTGCTGTGAGCATTAGTACATGTCATCCTACCTAGTCTTCATAGCACTTTGAGGTAGGTATTATTATTCCCATGTGATAAATGGGAAAGGCACACAGCAGATAAATGTTCTGAGCAAAACCACAAAACCACAAGTATTAGAGCCAGAACTGAAACACATCTCCCCATAGCTTTTTATTCACGATTTAAGTACAGTAATTTAGATTTTAACCTTCTGGGAATGCATACCGTATAATCTACTTCTATATCCTTCCATTGTTTTGATTAAAAGTATATTAGTATTATTATAGACTGAAATTTTATTCTTAGTGAAGTGACTCATGTAGTGATCCTGAGGAGATGGCTTTGAAATTTCTGGGCCTTTGTATCCCTACAATACTAAGACCTGAGAGACTTCTGGATGTCAGGATAAAGGATGATCACCTCTGAGATCTTATGGGGTTCTTCCAGAGGATCAAAGAGATTACTAATATTTAAAATTTTTTTTTCAAATGGGCCCAGTATCAATAAAAGGGATTTTAAAGGTATAGTAAAGTGATGATTTTAACCTGTAAGAAAATGTCTATGTCATTTGCAAGGTAGGTTGTGGTAAAAGGTAGGTTTTATTTATGGGAAGACTAGTAACATTTTGTGCTGTCTCAACATGATTATATTTGATAATGTCTTTATAGTTTTTGTGTGTGCTTCCTCAGCTTCTACAATAACAACTATCCAAAGTATAGCCAGAAAAGTTTTTATGCATCAAAGACACTATTCCAAGTTACGATGCAGTCTCAGCACTAAGGAGTGTTATTGTGTCCTTGCTCGTTTTTGAAAAAGTATTATTTTGTGTTTATAAAACACTAAGCTTAAGCTAGCTTATTAAATATAAGAACTGCAAGTATTTCTTTGAAAAAAAATGAAAATACTGAATCAGCAACGTTACAACAAAGTTGGAATCACATAGATACTGAATTTATTTTCTTTCTTCTTACATCATTAATGGCTTCTGTTTTGCTCTTGAATGCCCCCCTGAATATCACTGCAGATTTTCTATATTTAACCTATCTACAACTTTCTTAGATTAAAGAACTATACATAGTTTAATGTACATATGCATCTATATGTATGTGAATATAGTATAGGATATTATACATGTCCATCCATGTAATATTTGTATGCATGTATTATGTACATACACACACATACAGATGCATAATCATATATTTAAAGCCAAGAACTTTATATATTTAAAGCTAAGAACCTGTCCGTGTGGAATGGTGTTAGTTCTTGGACTCCAATACCAGAAAATAAAGCAAATATTATAGAAAAATCATTTTCTGTGTTACTAAGAAACACATTTCTTGGGGTGTGTAAAGGATAAAACAACAAATAAAAGACAGAGGGCCAGGAGAGAGTGTGGTGAAAGTGTCCAGGGAGCCAGGTGCCTGCATTCAAAGTGCAGCTCAGGTTCTTAGTAATGTCACAGCCTTGGGCAGTGCCCGCTTCACCTAGAGCTAGATGCAAACACACTGATCCCTCGGGGCTCCCAGTCCCACGTGTGAGGGGCCACTGTAAAATGGCCCTGTAGGACAGGCCGTGCATTTTATTCTGCTGTGACTGTCATCGGCTTCCCTTTAGAATCCAGAAGAATAAATAAGAGTTGTGGGGGAAGGAAATATCCACAGAGCTCTTGCTTGCATGAGAAACCTAGTCACTAGACACTGCTGCAGTCTGAGACAAGAGATTCTTACCAGCTACTTCCAGAAGCTTTGTGTATGCCACACTGTGGGTACTATGTTTGTGTACTTCTATATGATATTTGAATATATGATATTCGTGTACTTTCTATATGATGTTTGAAATTCAAGTATAAGGTTAATTAGCTAGAAACTGATCTCTTGAACAAAAAAGTCTAAAGATCCTTGTGGATTTTTAAGTTTCTTATGGTACGCTGAAATGGTCTTATTTCCCCCCAACCTTATTGATTACAAAGACTCCTCCTAAAGACTTTTTCTGCTTTGCTTCTTATTCCAAAAGAAAGTAATTGCATTTCTAGAAGGGGAAAAGAGGGATATTTGTTTCTTTCCATTGCAGATCAGAACCACATTGAGAGTGAAACCTCGGCAAGCTGAGTCATGTATCATTAACAGCTGAATATTCTCTGCGGCCACAAAGGCCACATAACTGGGTTACTGCATTTTACAGACTAGGAACTTTCTAATAATAGCAACTAACAATAGATGTGTACATACTACTATAAGTTTATATTTTTATAAGGTTCATGTAGCTTTGCCATTAGCATTTAATAGACTTATAAAAAGTAGTGGCTAATACTCACTTACTATATATCAGAGAGTTGCATTTAACTCACTCAATACATTATTTTGTCAATCTCTCAGACAACCTTGGAGATGCCTTTCCATTTCACAGATGAGTAAACTGAGGCTTAAGTTAGTCAAGTGACTCACCCAGTCAGTTACCGGTATGTGGCAGTCTTTCTAATTCTTGATAGTCACACTGCCTGCAAATGGCATTAGCAAGTGAAGCTAATCCACAACTGATACAGTAGGTCCCTGATTTACCAACATTCGAGCTGTAAACTTTCACAGATACGAATGGATCTTGCCTTATGCACATTCCTAGATGCAAACAAATTGCAAAAGTAGCTCAGGTGTCTGCCAGACACCTCGCAGTTGTGCTGCTGTGTGCTTACTGTACAGTATGGTAGTGTAGAGCCGTATAGTGCAGTTGGGTACTTGCTATATTTTTGTGGATGTGTTTGGTATTTTATGCTTTATATTGTATATTTTTGTCAAGGGTGTATAAGATTTACTTTGTCAGATTTATGAACAAATCTAAATTATAAATTTTACCCCTAAATGGAATTTGTAAGTCAGGGAGAGGGGAGGGTCAGGTAGTCTCCTTAGCTGGCAGCAGCAAGTATTCTGTGAATTTGCAACTCTTCTGGGTGCTTCCTCATGAGCTATTGAGAAAAAGGCTCTGGGGTCAAGGGAGTTTTGAACTGCTGAGCTACATAAAACTAAATACAGTTTTTCCCTTTTTAAAAAGTTGTATCTTAGAAACCCCATGTCTCCCCATACACACTCAGGAGGCTACTGACTGGGTTACTCCCCTAGCGGAAGAGGGTCTAGAAGCAAGCCTGGAAGGTGGTACATTGGCTTTCCAGGATGTGGAACCCCTCTTTCCTTCCTCTCCTAAAAGATAGCTTGGGAAAGAGTGAGGTGAAATATTCACCTAGAAATAGTGTGTTGAAACATGCTACCCAGTGCCATACCTTGTGCTGTTGCCTTTCCCAGTTCCAGCCGCAGCTTGGGTCCTCTTGGTCAGAGCACCTGTCGTAACCATGGCGTACAGTCCTCACTGTGGCAGCTCAGAAAGACGTGGGGCTTGGTAAGTAGACGGCTTTGGGGAGCTATCTGATCTCTCCTGACCTCCAGCACCACGATCCTGGGTATGAGATGGGACTAATGTCTGCTTGGTAGAGCGGTTGTATTAGATTCTGTAATAATACAACCAGTATGAAGTCTGGAACTAAACAGGTGATCAACAATGGTAGCTGTTCTGGCAAGCTAGCAGGAGGTACTTCAAATAAAGCTGATCTTTGCTATGGCCGTACATCTGGCATATGAAGTGGATTTAATACATATTTGCTTTGCTGGGTCACAGCAGCATATTATATTAGTCACCAATGTCTATGTTGTCCCTTAACTGGAAATTAAACAACGTATTCTATTTGTCACACATGGCAGTGGGATCGTAGGAAGTGGTCCCTATGTGAATCTTTTTGTGTGGCCTTAGGACTATATGTGTTTCTAAATAGACTTTCTAAACATTGGAACAGGAGGTAGAACGATAACTCTTCCATTGCATAGCACATTTCCATTTACAAACACTTTCTCACGGACCCTGCAGACCTGACATTTCCTCAGCAACCCTGAGAAGACACTAAAGGGCCCTGGGCTCCACTGTACAACAGGGTGAAGGAGGAGGTCAGTTGTGTTTGAAGGCAGTTTACTCCATCCTCAGGCGCAAACCTTACAGGTCTCTTCTAAGGGGTGGAAACTTACTCTTTCACGGCGCCTCCACCATTAGGGACCAGAGAGGAGATTGATCTCTCCGCCCAGGACAGTAGGTGCAGAGCTTGGAACACCCTGAGATGCTCATTCTATTTATATTTAGTTTGTCACTAGACTATGAGCACCTGGAGGGTACAGGCAGTCACTCCTGTATCTTTGCACCCCCAAGCACTTACTGCAGAATCTGAAGGAACCTGAGAAGAGTTGCTTATTGCCATAGGAGTGAATGGATGAAAGCTCATTCAGTGAGAGCCTGAAGAATTAATAAATAGCTAGGGGCTAGCTGGAGTCAGGAATGTCTGGTGATTTGGGACTCTAATGTTCATGGTGGAATCATTCATTTGGGGATAATTACCTTATAAATCTAGCAATATCAGGAGAATTTGTGGCTATTTCTCTGCTCTTATCTTTGTTGGCTAGAGGCTTAGGACAGGCTGGCTGCTGTCTGGAGGATATGATAAAGTGGTGACTGCCTGGAAATTGAGGTTCAGACTCTTGGTTGGGCTCTTTTTCCCAGGGTAACCTAGCTCTTCCAGTTTTTGAGGACTTGAAGAGTGACCTCCCCCCACCAAAGAAAAAGATGGGTCAGGCAGACCAGAGAGAAAGTTCAGCTGATATGGAGAGGAAGGTGTAGGGCGTACTAGGAGACAATAGCTTTCTGGGTCGGTGAGCACTGGGTCTGCATCGCTTCCCAGCTCTTCCAGTGATGGAAAGAACAGCTCATTTGGAGAGGGATGGGCTTCCTGAAGCCTCCTCTGTCTGGTTTGCTAATATCAGCAAGTTTCCTTGGTGGCGGAGGAGTTGGGAACCGAAAACAAGTCACGACCCAATTAAGTGATCCTAGAATCTGAAACAGCGCCAGCTGCCATGGAACAAAGCCGTTTTCAGGGACTGGAGGGCCCCCTAAGGAAATCAGGGCAAAGCAGATTCCTTGCGGTATGTAAATAAACTTTCTGACTTGATGAATAGGGGTTACTCCAAGCGGTCTGGCAAGGGGATTTGTTACCTTGGGGGTGGCTGTGGAATTTTCTTTCCTGGGGAATTTAACAGCAGGTTACATTTTGATCTGACTAAAGTTCTTCAGCTGTGAGCCATCCTGGAAGCGGGGAGGAGGTGGCAGTGAGATTAGTCTGCCCTTAATTGTGGAAACTGCTTCAGAGGAGGTATGAGGGGAATTGTGTATGATCCATAGATATATTTTTACCACAGGCAAGTTTTCCTTTGGTTAGCCATAGAGGCATGACTTGTTTGTTACGATGATTCAGAGTTCTTGGGATTCGACAAGCTAAATGAGCCCCTTAATCAGCATCCAGAATAGTGGAAGAGTTCTGGAAGATGAACAGATACAAGCCAAAAAAGTTGCTTTAGCTCTTCCTGTAGGCTAAAAACAACTTTTAAAGAGCCTGACTAGTGAGGTTATACACAGGTTGTTAGGACAACAATTCATAGATTTAATGTGAAGAAGCAGCATTGTATAACAAATTAACTTTAGCCAGACTCTCTAGGTTCAAAGCTTAGCTCTACCACCTACTAGTTATGTGATTTTGGCGCAAATATTTTATGCCCTGTGTGCCTCGGTTCCTTCTATAAGAAAAATAAAATTATAGTTTATACTTCATGGACTCTGTAAATATTAAAATTATTAAATGAGTTCAGTCATACAAAGCACTTACTACAGTGCCTAGCATGTGAACAACACTAAAGAAAATAAAATATTTTAACTTTTATCATGTTTGCCCGAATACCTACATACCATGCTTCTAGTGTTATGTGGCCAAATTCAACTTGAATATATCAAGACTATGAAAACAAATTTCTCAGAGATTCCCCATACTAAGTAAGAAAAAAGAGTCACCAACCACGAGTAAGTTTTATTAAATTTATGGAATTAGCATCATTGGTAAAAATTATTTTAAAAAATATTCAACTCCTCCAATGGATTTTGGACCTCTATATCTTATTCCGTCCTTTCTTGCTATATGCATTTCAGTCTGTTTGGGCTACTCTTTTCCTGGAGGAATCATATCCATTTCCTTTAGTCCTTTTCTTCCATTGCCTGTTCTAATGTGGAATCTTAACTCCTCTCATCTGCTTCTTGGCTTATTAAAGTCTCCTCCATCCTTCAAGATTCCTAACATCTTCCATGCAGCCTTCACAGATTTTTCTCAGGAAGTGATCTCTTCTGTCTTCAAATCTCCTCATCTCTTATATCTTATTTCTTTCCATGTTTTTTATGGTTTGTTTGCCCAATTTTTCCTAAAGTGTCTCATATCTCCCATATGCCTTAGTCTAAATTCTTATATAGCACGAATCCTTAAAACCATTTATTGAGACTGAGGTTAATCTTATAATCTTATGTTTACTCTCATAAACTTGCAGTTGAGATGTCAGGATTGAGTAACGCTTCGGGCATGACTAGGGAGATTGAATAAAATTTCCACTCTCATATAGAAAAATATTTTTCTCCAGGAAGGGCAGGAACCTTTGCACTGGGCCCTCCATGCAAGACGGTTGCATAGTCTGATAAGCACATTGAAGCACTGACATCGGGGAACAGGATGTAGTCAAAGGACAGTGTGCAAGGAAGTGAAGGGTCTACTCTAAATGAAAGTGTGGAGACTGGGAAGGCATAGGCCAAGGGAAGGTTCCCTTCACTTCACATATTGAAGATTTGTCATGGTGATGATGACTTAAATGCTTCAGAGGAAAAAACTAGGACCAGTGGGAGAAAATTACCAAGGGGCAGATTGCAGCCCAGTATTAATACGTCCATCCTAATAGCTGTAGCTATTCATCAGTGGAAAGAGTTGCCTTAAACAGTGGTAAACTCCCAGTTGGGCTTATGGGCCAGATAATCTTCCAGCTGTGGACAAATTGAGCAGGAGTTTGGGCTTCATGACCCCCAAACAGCCTTCCACCCCAAAGATTAATTGACTTTATGGAAATCTGTGTTTCGGCAAAGGATAGTAGGATAAATATCCTGCTCTGTACTGCTTTTTAAATGTTGGTAGAATTAGGGATTTGAAAAAAGTCAATGACTTATTTCTTTGCCTTCCACAAAGAAAAGGATATAAACTTTCATTTAGGGATTTTACAAAATCCATTTTGTTTCATTTTCTTGTCTCATGGCTTAAGTGCAAGGAGGTACTAGCTGGGGTTCCTGCTTGGTGACAGGCTAAACTATGATCGCACAAATTGTTTACTGTGCATCTTGTTTTTGAATTCATATTTATAAGCTGAGCTTGATGCCAGCGGTGTATTTCTTTGCCTAGATAATTAATGCAAATGTGTTCATGCTCTGCATGTTGGTGGAGGGAGGAGCTATTAGAAATCTTGTACTAACATGAAATTCCTGAGTGACTTGAACAGTTTTCACACGCTTTCTTCACCCCTGTGGATAATGACATTGCTAGCTTGCTCCCATGCTGCTAATGTATTTGTGCATATTTTAGCACAAAAATATATGCAGCTTGTTAGCTGAAGGAGTCTCTTCATTTCCTCCTTTCTGTCTCTCCAAGACAGAGCAAAGTAGTTCTTTATTGATAAAGACCATGTTTACATTTTTAAAGCAATTAGCAATAGATTCTCTGGCATCTCTTCCATACTGCTTGCTGCTTGTGGTTATATCATCAGATACATAGCTTCCTTTGATATTTAGTATTGACTGCATCATCTATATCAAAGACTCTCATGTTCCTGCTGTGAACTTATCACTGGACAATCTGTTCTAGACATAGTCTAACTCACCAGACTATTAAAGGATCAGGAAGCATGTCCTAATTCTAATCTAAAGGAAAACAATGTCATTTCTCTATCCAAGTTTTGCACTGTCTGTAGATGTGCATTTTCTCTTCAGTTGTGTTCAAAACAGTATGATTTTCTGGAAATTCTGAGTATCTCAGGGCAATTGGAAACAGAAGGAGTTGGCATTAATTAAATCTAAACACAAATGGTCCCTTGGTGGAGGGGCGTTCTCTTTGCATTTCACCTGCAACAGATGCAGCAGAACAGAGTAATTGTCCTCGACATACGTATTTTGGGAAAAGCCTCCTTTTACTATCTGTGTTCTCATTTAATTAAACTGGAGGACTCAAAATGGAATTCAGCTCATTTAAGGTACAGTAGGGGGTATTATGCGTATACAAATAATGTTTTTATTATTTATAATGGATTTAGAAGTTGCTGCCTTACAATAATTATTGAATTTTACAAAAAGAACTTCTGAACAAAGGAACCCTCCACAAGCCTTAACCTAAAAAGGAAGCCATGGGCGGGAAGGGCACTCTTGTAATTTCTCAAATTCTCCCTGCTTTCCTCTAGTTGAGAGTATTTGTTCTTTTTTTTTTCTCACAAATTTACTAATACCATAAATACAAGATGAACAAGTTTCCCCGCACCTATCTTTAGCTTAAATTAGCAGAGAAAAGTTGCTGCAAAGGAAACAAGCTTAAGTTTTCAGTTCTTTCTTAGGAGCTGGGGTAACCAGGTAACACATTTCTCTGTGCTGGCGTTTTGTGCCTCTTTTAGTGTTTTATTTTGGATGTGATTGGTTTCACATACCACCAGATAGAGCGGAGAGAGAATGATTTCCCCAGGAGGTCTCCGATCTGTTAGGATATTGCTATAGAAACAGTCTGTCAGCACCGACATTTGCACACACCCAAATTTGTTTACAGAGGAAATGAACTGTATGAAGCCATCCTGACTGAACTCCTCTTTCCCTCCACCCCACCGTTATCTAACTGAGCCATTGTCTGGCTATTCTCACAACTATTGCTTCTGCTAAATAAAAATAGTGTTTTTTAAAAAATTAGCATCTGCAGTGCATACTGTTGAAACCTACTTGAGAGATTCCTTGAGCACCCTCCTCCGTTTCTGCAATGTGATCAGAAATGCCATCTCATCAGTGTTAGATCATGTTACCTGCACTTAGATTTTTATGACAAAAGTGGAAGCTCACAGTCACCACCTTTAATCCTTAGAGGCCAAGCTCCTTTCCACATAGTGGCGGGGGAGCTGTTTGGGAGGATGTGCTGTCATATTTAGAATAAAATCCCTAAGGTTTTAGAAACTCTTGGTTTAGATATTAAGCTCAGATTTATTGGCCTGCTAAATCATCCTAGCTTTCCAAGTGACAAGGTGTTTTTCATAACTCTAAGAGAAAAATTCAGAATGAAACTTTAAAAATAAAGGACAGAACAGAAAAGGGAGTTAAAATAGCTAAAATCTTATTTACAAAATGAAAGATGTTTATTACTTAAAATGTGTGATGGCTCTTTGTTTGCTTAAATTTTTGTTTTCTCAGTGGCTTGTCTAGTTAGCCTTTTTAGCTCACTGCCTTTTTGGTAATGACGTATTCTGCTTATCTCAGGCAAAGGATGCTTCTGTCTGGAATCACAGGAGTACATGGAATTTCATCGTGGTATCATTTCTTTTCTTCATCACTGACATATTAGTACCAATAACGAAACCTGTTACACACTGCATTTGGAAGTCACTCATTCCACTTATTGTTTATTTATGGTCAGTTTGACATTTCTAGAAAGAAATTATGATGCCATAACAGCTCCCCCTGTTTCCAATTGCCCTGAGATACCCAGAATTTCCAGAACAATCGTACTGTTTTGAATACAGCTAAAAATGAACCCATGTCATCTGAAAGGAAGTCGGCACCATCTAGCTCTTATTTGTTTGCTTTGTATAACCCATGATTGTTTTCTAGAAGAAACTATCACCATGGACCCATGCCATGTGTGTAGTCAAGGTGTGAATTGCTTATTGGTTGGGGGTGAAGCACATGGTTTCCAGGGAAACAAAAAGGATGTCTCATTTGAGAATTTTCATTCTTTATAGGGAGTGTACAGATGTTAGATCTTATGGAAGCATGCGTGTACGGCACCCAGGCCAGTATATGAGACTAAAAAGAAGAATGTAGGAAGAAGAGGATACAAAATGCAAAGGTAAAGATAAACTAAAGTAGGAAAGGGCAAACCCCAGGTAGAACCACAGAATTCTAATTCATTAGAGATTTTAGCCCTTATCTGAGCTCTAAGTGCGAGGTAGGTTGTAAATAGAATGGTGATATTGTGACATTTGTCTCCAGTATCCCAACCTACAATATCAATGTCCTTCTCTACCTGTTTGGTAGTCTCTGAGTGCTGGCAGCTGTTTTTTTAGCTTTCTCTTCTTAGTTGCACCATTTCTGAATGTTCTAGATTTAAATTATGTCCCTCCTTTTTGACTTCTCTCACTTTTGTAATTTATTTTATCCCTTCTTAAAGTGTTATATTATAGCACTCATTGCTTTTTACACATATATTTTGTGGTATGCGGCACTTGCCATGATTTGTAATTTAGACCATTCCCTTCTTTTGTTTATTTATTTTATTTTATTTTATTTTTTCCGGTAACGAGAATCGAACTCACGACGTTGCGCTTGCCAGGCAGGCGCTGTGCTGCTGAGCTAAATCCCCAGCCCGGCTTCCTCTTATTCTTGTATTTGCATGGGGCTATATCACTTTCTGCTTCTGCGACTCATGGCACAGCATGACAGGTTATACTGTACATTAGAAGGAGTTTTTTGGTAGAAGATGGAAATGGGTATTATGTTTTAAATTGGAAACATCCCCCCAAATCTCATGTGTTCAGTGCTGGGGCTTTCAGAAGACAATATCATGGCAGCCTTTTACTCATCAGTAAATTAATCTAGTAAATATGCTTTTAGGAGGCGGGGCCCACTTGGAGAGGGTGGGCCACTTGGGGATGTGGTTCTGGAGAGTGAATCTCTTACTTTGGCTCTTGGGGTTTCTCTCTGCTTCTTGGCTGCCTTGAGTTGAGGAATATTGCTCTTCCCAGCCCTCCCACCATGTAGTTTCTGCCTTCCCACCTGCCAACCATGGACTGAACCCTCTGGAACCATAGCCAAAATTAACCTGTCCTCCTTTAAATTGTGCTGGGTGTTTTGTTCCAGCAGTGGGATGGCTGACTAAGAGAGTGGTTGGGAAATCTATGGAAACCTCTCTCCAGAGCCACTTCTCTGTGCCTCTTTGCAGAGGAGTTGGCCCCGTTCTCCTTCATCCCCAGAGTGTCCTTCTAGCCCCTCTGTTCTTTTCCAGGGATTTACCTCAGGTCGTGGGTCCAAAGAATTTAAGTGAGAATACTGAGAATCTGGATGGTTCAGGTCATCCCTTCCCTGCCCCACACTGCGTCCTTCCACAGGTTCCTAAAGTCCCTAATGGAGACCCTGCAGGTCTTTGAGGTGGCTAGTAGGCTGCCTTGGGGTTTCCTGGCTCATTCCCATCATGCGTCTTTCTCTGCTATGTGCTTTCTTGCCACCCACCCTGCAGGGTCCACTGATGGGGAAGACAGGGACATGGAGGAGAGGCAGGATTCCTCTCTTTCCATGATACTTCCTTTCTTCACTCCCTGTCTTTTCCTCCCCCTTTCCTTACATTACTCTTTCTGTGGGCAGATTTGGAGAGATTCACAATCTACTTTAGTGAGTTCCCTATCTTGCTCCTCTCAAAGGACCTTCTTCTCTCTAGGTTTAAACCATTCTGCTGTGGGTTTCCTTGGGTTCCACATATCAGATCACAACTCTCTTTGATGACTTTTAATACATTTCTATAATTCCCTTTGTATGTGGTCTTCAAGGGCTGTATTCTCGGTGTCTTCACAATTTTTCTAGGCAATCTTAATGTGATTTTAAAATCTTTTTCTCTTTGGTAGAGATTTTCTTTGATACATGTCTGATTCCTAGTTCATTTTTAGGTTGCTTGTTGGATGTATAACAAGTGAATTAAATTTGGAAGAAGCTCAAAACTAAACTATTCCGCTTCCCTAAAAACATTTTACCCTAATTAAATGACAGCAATCCATTTCTCGGAAGCCTGTAGCCATCCTGAGTTTTTTAGCTTGTCTTTTATTCTGGCAATCCCTAATTTCTGTCACTTCTATTGCCTAAACTTTTTCTTTCAATTATTTTTAAAGAATCTTTCTGTAATCCTTTTGTGTTCCCATAGTTTAGATGCTATGATCTCTTCCTAGAATCATGATCTTGACATTTTCTTGTCCACTTTTGTCAGAACAATTTTTAACAAGAAATGAATCATATTAACTACCCTAGTAAAAAATTTCCAATGGATCTTCATTGTTTAGGGTGACAGCTTTAAAGTCCTTTTGACTTGGCATTAAAAAGTTTTAAGCTTTGCCCCAGTAGATATGTACACTTATTTATCGGAGATATTCATATGTATATATGTGTGTAGATATGTATAATAATGAAATTGTTAATATTGATGATAATAACTAATATTTATAGACATGTTTTCTTTATCTCAAGAACTTTAGCTGCATTTAAATGCATTTAACCAAATACACTCTATCCACATCTATTAAAATCTGTTCATTCATTTAATTATCACAATGTACGCAAGCAGAAAAAGAGAGCAATGAGAGGAAAGTGAAGTATTTTATTTAGAAATGGTGAAATTTTTCTGCTTTCCAGTTGTAATATGCTGTATTTATGTTCTAGATACTTGTTAATTGTGTTGCTAATCATGATGATATCATGCTGTAATGTTACTATAACTTACTAACATTTTGTATGTTTTACTTTTATTTTATTTTATATATTATCATTCTCTTTCCATTAGAATATAAACTTCAGGAAGCAGGCATCTGGTTATTTTGTTCATACCTACTCTCTCTCATCTAGAGGGGTTGTAGATAACAGATGCTCATAAGTTATTAAATAAATGAAGACCTATACGTTCATGTACACTCTTCTCTTAGAATAGTGATTATTATAGATGATGGTGGCCATATTCTTTTTTCAAGTACTCTATGTGGTAATTTAAATTTTGGAGGGTCTCAAATTTTGTCAGATACAACAAGACCATTCTTATAATTACTTTTTTATGTGATTGGTAAAGAACTCATTATAGATTAGAGAGAGTGTCAGTTTGCCATTTTCTTAGTATTTGATTTTTTTCCAGGCTTAGTAATATGTCAGATCTATAGTTGGCACCCTGCAAACACAATTTTAATGCTACAGGTACATATTATGAAGATCGGATTGGTTACTAAGAGCAGGCAGTACAAACCCTAAACGCACAAATACACATCAGAAACATATGTCTGCAATGTATGCCAACATACTGAAAGGAAAGGAATAGGTGAGGACAGCATCTCCCACAGTTCCGTGTTGAAACCGCCCGCCATTTTCCCAGGAAATACCACACGTACCGTGTAACACTGAGAACTTCCTGTGACATGATCCAAACCAGAGAATGAGTGGTAATCCTTCTATGAAGTATGAGTAAATATTAATTTCTTTTTTCATGTTAGAAAAATAGTAATTAAATGAGAAGTCCTGGCTCCACTGCTGCTAATGATCAAGTAGCGCCTGTCAGATCAACCGTTCTGCGAGGAATGCCTGTGAGCTCTAGACAAATGTGAGAGCAGCTGCCTGAAGACTATGTAAAGAAAGGCCTGAAGATAAAGGAAGAGGGATTAGTTTGGAGAAAGGGAATAGAAATGGTTTAGGTGCCTTATATTTTTCAATTTTTGGCCTGTAGTTAGCTCCAGCTGGTCACTACATAGGCAGTTAAAATATGGTCAGAAATATACAGCTTTATTAGTTGTTAAGAACCAGAGTTTAAGGTGATTGCAAGGGCTAGAAAACAAAAGCTAGAGGGAAGAATGCCAGAAAGGAGAGAGCAAAAGTATAAATGCTCCCTAAATCTCTGAATAATACCATGGATGCACAGCACAGACTCCAGGCAGCTCAGCTAAAGCTAAAACAACTTAACTGCTATTTCTAAGTCTGGAATTTAATTTCTACCAATTTTCTGCTTGCTAAAACAAAAATAAATACTCCTTAGAGGAACGTAACAGAATCCAAGGACTTTACAATGTATCACTTATAATATCCAAGGTAATAGGCCTAAAGTTTTAGACATAGAAGGAAGCAGAAAAATGGGTAGTATATATCAGAGAAAAGACAATCAATGGAGACTGGCCTTGAGATAGAATTTAATGCATCTGCTACAACTGTACTCTAGAACAGAAATGTATTTGTGATTAATGACAAAATAGGAAATCTTACAGAGAGATGGGAAATGTTTTTAAAAACATGCAAATTCCAGAAATAAAAAAGATAAAATTTGAAATGAAAAAGTTTCAGGATGAATTTTGACAGCAAACTGGAAATGACAGAAGTGTTTATGTATTGAAAGACAAATAAATTAAGTAATCTAATCTGAAGGATAAGAGGAAAAAAATGGATAAATGAACAGAACTTCAGGGACCTGCAGTAAAAAACAAAAGGTGTAACCTCTTGCAACTGCAACCCTAGTGACAAAAGGTAGAGCTGTTGGAATAACAAACAGCGAGAATAATGGCTAAAAATTTCTCAGTTTGTTGGGAGACATAAGTTCATAAACTCAAGAATAACAATGAAGCTCAAGGAAGAAACTGGGACTAAACACATGGCAGTCAACTAGCTAAAAGCCAAAAGTAAATAGAAAATCTCAAAGCTGTTTATAATTCCTTACCAGACCTCACCGGAAACAACCACTGACTCCTAAACACCAATCTGCCAGTCCCTGTATCCCTTAGAATGCAAGAGAGGAAGAATGACACAATTCATGCAAAGTGATGATCGCTGGCTTTTCTTATCAGGATGAATGTAGACCAGAAGACAGTGAAATGACAACTTTAAGGTGCTGGAAGTAAAAAAAACCAGTTTATTAATTGGAAATTTTAAATTTGTAAAAATACCCTTTGAAAAATAACTATCATAAATAGAAGTACTCAGAAAACAGGAAAAAACCCTGGATTCATGGATGGATAGGGGGATAGGAGAACATTTGATAGAGCAAATAGAACAATTTAGGCAGTCTGTGGATATTTTTTGTACAATTCTTTTAACACTTGGCATGTTTATAACTTTTCATAA